AAAAGAATCTCTTTTTCATGAAACCATTGCTATTTCCCTCTTACTTTAATGACTAATATTTTAATTATGGTTTTCTGCCCATTCTATTTCTTCACCAGCCTGACTGCCATGGTATCACCAGGGTAATCTAAAAGATGATTCTTATAACAAAACTGAACTAAAAAATTATAAACCCTGGAAGAGGATAAGATAGTCATTTTACAGGGCAAGAAAATCGCAGTAAAGAAAGTTTAAAAATAGAACAAAGAAAAATGTAAAGCTGACACAAAGTCAGAGAAATAGCAGGGAGACCAGAAATCAAGATCAGTCAAAACACCTAAGAGAACAAATAGAGATGAAAGACAAAAAAGGAGAACTCTCCTTCCAGGAAACCCAGTCTTCTGATGAATGTCTTTCTTTCTTTACAAGATTAACAATTAACATTATTATAACTGCAGGGCATGCAAATAAACAGCATCAGAAGTATCATAATAAAAAATTTATTCTGGGGGTGCCTGGGTGGCTCAGTCGTTAAGCGTCTGCCTTCGGCTTGGGTCATGATCCCAGGGTCCTGGGATTGAGCCCCGCATCGGGCTCCCTGCTCAGCGGGAAGCCTGCTTCTCCCTCTCCCACTCCCCCTGCTTGTGTTCCCTCTCTCGCTATCTTTCTCTGTCAAATAAATAAATAAAAAAATAAAATCCTAAAAATAAAAGTTAAAAAAATTTATTCTGTGTCAGAAAGTAAAGAAATAAGTTTGTAAAAAATCTAACAATTGTAGTTACATATATAAGATTATTATTATTTGAATATATTTATGAAATTCAACAAGATATGCAATGCTATTGGGTTTAAATATGCTAAACATAAACATAAAATATTAAAGCAATCAACACATAATTTTGTTTTGTTTCATTTTTACTGTTGTAAAATTGTTAGTGTTAGCACTTTTTTTCCTTGCCTTTTATTATTTGGTAGATACATTAAACATAATGTCCAATTTAATTGACTTACAGAAAATTCTCTATAATGTAATACAGCAAAAAAATGTTTTTGTGCTTTTTAAAACTGAAATACCAGTAAGTTTTTGAAATAAAGTATAATGAATGAAAATTGCCTGAATATTACATTTTTTACTAAAGTGTAATTTACACATAATACATGATTTTTAGGTGTGCAACATACTGACTCAACACCTACATATATTATGAAATGATCACCTCAATAAGTTACTATCTGTCACCATACAACGTTTTTATACTGACTATATTTCCTATGCTGTATACCACATTCCCATGTGTTATTTATTTCATAAATGGATAACTGTACTTCTTAATATCTTTCAACTACTTTATCCATCTCCCTATTCCCCTACCTTCAGGCAATCATTAGTTTTCTGTATTTATGAGTCTCTTTCTGTTTTGGTTTGTTGATTCATTTGTTTTGGTTTTAAGAGTCCATATGTAAGTAAAGTCATATGATATTTGTCTTTCTCTGCCTTATTTTGCTTAACTTAATACTCTCTAGTTCTATCTATGTTGTTAAAACAGATATTTTTTTTACGGCTGAGTAATATCCTGGTGTGTGTGTGTGTGTGTGTGTGTTGTGTGTGTACCATATCTTTTTATCCATCATCTATTGATGGACACTTAGGTGGACACTTATGCTTTCATATATTTGTTAGTGTAAATAACGCTCTGATAAACATAAGGGGTGCATTCATTTTTTGAATTAGTGTTTTGATTTTATTTGGTTAAATACCCACAAGTGCAATTGTTGGATCATATGGTAGTTCTATTTTTAATATTTTACAGAATCTCCACACTGTTTTCCACAGTGCCTGTACCAATTTACATTTCCACCAACAGGGCACAAGGATTCCCTTTTCCCACATCCTCACCAACACATTTTCTTTCTTGTCTTTTTGAAAATAACAGTTCTGAGAGATGTGAAATGATACCTCACTGTGGTATTAATTTGCATTTCTTTCATGATTAGTTATATTGAGGATTTTTTCATGTTGGCCACATAAAATATGGTACAATAAATACAATTATTTGAATATTATTTTTCTTTAAGTGTTGGGTATACTTTATAAAATAACAGTCATTTTATAAAAATGAAAAGGTCACAATTTACATATAGTTGTTAAAGATTAAATATATGGCTAGTAAAATAAATAAAGTAATAGTCGTCAAGAAATCATTAAGTCTAGGGTGCCTGGGTGATTCAGTTGTTTAAACCACTGCCTTGGCTTGGGTCATGATCCTGGAGTCATAGAATCGAGTCCCGCATTGGGCTTCCTGATCAGTGGGGAGTCTGCTTCTCCTTCTTACCCTCACCCGTCTTGTGTTCTCTCTCTCTCTCTCTCTCTCAAATAAATAAATAAAATCTTTATTTTTTATTTTTATTTTTTTAAAGATTTTTATTTATTTATTTGAGAGAGAGACAATGAGAGATAGAGAGCAGGAGAGGGAAGAGGGTCAGAGGGAGAAGCAGACTCCCCCCGAGCAGGGAGCCCGATGTGGGACTCGATCCTGGGACTCCAGGATCATGACCTGAGCCGAAGGCAGTCGCTTACCCAACTGAGCCACCCAGGTGCCCAATAAATAAAATCTTTAAAAAGGTCCTCTAAAGAAAGCATTGTCTAAAAAAAAAGAGAAATCATTAAGTCTTGATATAGCTTTTAAAACTAATCACATTATTGTCACATATATTCTTAACATTTATTTATTTATTTATTTATTTATTTATTTATTTATTTAGAGAGCATGAGTGGCAGAAAGAGAGGGAGAGACACCCAAGTAAGCTCCACGCTAAACACGGAGTCCAACCCTAGGCTCAATCCCACAACACTGAGATCATAACTTGAGCAGAAACCAATAGTCCAGTGCTCAACTGACTAAGGCATCCAGATGCCCCTGTCTTATTTTTAATTATCCATGTCAGAAACTGGACATTTCTAAGATTTTCTGCAAACTACTTATTATTAGAAATAGGCTCTAGACCACATACAGAACTTCTGGCTCAAAATGTTTTAAGATTTCTTGTAATTGTTATGTATATCTATATATACTGTAAACTATCATACAAGCAGTCATAGACTTACACATCATCTTAATTGCACATTCCTTCTACACATGCATTAGCCTTTGATTCATTTCTTCTTTTTCAGACAAGAGTAGAAATCATATTTTTATTATGTTGTCATTATTAATTTAAATACAAACATTTTCTTGCAACTTTCTACTTTATAGTAAAAGCATTATTTTCAAATGTCCTCTCACTTATCATTACAATCTAAACTTTCTGAAACCACCTCATTAAATAAGTTTAGTCTAAGTCTTTCCAAAGATGACAATAATTATTTGTTTGATAACCATATTTTATGCAAAGATAGGAATAACACAAACAACTCCATTAGTATGCAAATAAACTGGAAACATTTTTGTAAATAATCAGGATAATATTGTTAACATAGGTAATGTGATGAGGCACAAAATTGTAGTCTGGAAAAGTTCTCCCTAATTTAGAAAGTACTGGCAAAAATATACAGGGAAATTTATTTTCATTCTAAAAGTTAGAGAATCAATTCCATGACAGATCTCTGCACTTGTTTTTTCCTCTTTTCTTTATCATAATCCCTTTCTGGTTCATTTCTGCGTATTTAAATCCTACATGTCTTTGAGGTAAATATTAGAACCTACCTTCCCAAAGAATTTTAAACAGGTTAAGCATATTTTAAATAATTCTATTCCATACTATATATGCTTTCTGTTCCTATTAAAAGTTCTACCTACTTTACTCTAAATTATTTTTAAACTGTTTGATGGGGCACCTGGGTGGCTCAGTTGGTTAAGCGACTGCCTTGGGCTCAGGTCATGATCCTGGAGTCCCAGGATCGAGTCCCAGGATCACGTCCCGCATCGGGCTCCCTGCTCAGCAGGGAGTCTGCTTCTCTCTCTGACCTTCCCCCTCTCATGTACTCTCTCTATCTCATTCTCTCTCTCAAATAAATAAATAAAACCTTTAAAAAATAAATAAACTGATGCATTAAATTGTGAGCTTTAAGATTTTCAGAAAAGAAATATTGTTCAAATAAATACAAGAGATTGAAAGTGCTCACTAGCAAAAACCATATAATGTACAACACAAAGAATGAACTCTGATGTAAACTATGGACCTTGGGAAATAATGATTTGTCAATGCAGGTTCATGAATTGTAACAATTGTACTACTCTGATGTGAAATGTTGGTGGGAGATGTGTGAGAGCAGAGGGTATATAAGAACTCTGTGTATTTGCTGCTTAGTTTTGCTATGAATCTAAAACTGCCCTAAAATTAAAGTCTATAAAAAATGCTTCCTAGTAATTATAGACATTTTCATGATGTTTAAGTTATGAGTAAACATTATGGTAAAATTGTAAAATAAAAATCCAATTTAAATAAACCTCATATAAATATTTCTAAGTAAATAACAAAGACACCTCTTAATGAGGTAAATTTGGCTATTAATGAAATTAAATAGTATAGTTTTAATTTACTGTAAAAGAATCCCTATGTGAAAGAGATTTGACCAGTATAAATACATGGAGTAAAGTTTTTGCTTAATATTTTGCTTTCATATAAGTAAATACTTTTTTTTTTGATACTAAGAAAATAGGTTTTATTGCTTATATTACTTGCCTTTGCCTACCAGGAATTTGTATTTGTCAACTATGTATCATAAGAAAAACCAATATTCTTGAAAATAATTTCAGTTGTAGATTATAAATAAAAATAATATTGTAACTTGTTTAAATATGAAGGAGAAAATAATTTTGTGAAAAACTAAGAGTATTGTGGATTAGAGTTAGATATGAAAATATAGTCAAGAGATATATAGCACATTATTTCTGAGTTTCCTGTAAAAATAAGATTTCCATACACTGTTTCCATCATAATATTGAACTTATTCTTACAGATACATTTGAACCAATTTGAGAAAACTGTAATATAAATTCTAAATTATGTACAAAACTTACATGCTTTGTGGAATTTTTGTTTAACATCATGAATAGTGGATGTTTGCACCACCTGAAAAGGAAAAGAAAATATAATTATTTTAAAAAAGTATTTTTTGTTTGCTATATTTTTAAGAAGAAAACATAATTTAGTAAAGTACAAAATTATTATGAAATAACCAGTGTGTTTTGTTTGACTTTTTATTCATTACTGCTTTGACCACTTTGAAATATTGCATCTGTATGCCTTTATCTAAAATTTTATTTTTTATGTAGCAATAATGATGTCATTATATGAGGTTATTAAATGGTCATCTCAAAAATATATTTCTGAATCTTCTTTGTCCATAATATTCAATTTCTGGTTTCCAAACTGGAGAGACTACCAATTAAAATATGAATAAATACACAAGATATACAGAAGGTAAAAGAGTTTGTAACAGAGAAGCTTCAGTATATGAAGTTGATTTATATGGGCAAAAGAGGAAAATGTTTACTACAGAATATCATCTGAAAAAATATTCTATCTAAGCTCCCTCATTAGTTATGTTATTACATCTCCCATCTCAAAATGTTATGTCTATCAAAATTCATGTTAGATATATTAGATATATAATCAGATATATTAGTATTCATTCATGTTAAATATATGGATTCATCAGGATTGCAAAATGTATGAGGATGAGAATTCTATTTAAACACCTCAAGCCAATACAAAATTTTTTTGACTCTCTGACTGTTCATATCAAACTTGCTAACTGAAATTTTTTTCTACCTCTGGTCACTTTCATTGGCTTATGAAAAAACTCAACAATACTTCAAGATCTATAACAAAGGACAAATCCATGGCCATGTAAGAAAATATATTTCCTTTCTCTAAACACATATAGAATATTGTGTTCATGATGTATTTTATTGCTACACTAAAATCTTACAGCTATTTTGAGAGAGTGAAGTGAATAATAAAAGTGCATAAAGGATGGCACATAATAACACCTCAGGCAGTTCTAATTAACATTATTATATTATATTTAATATTTAATTGAATATTAAAAGTATAACAATGAATGCATTGATTTTACCACATTCAACTCTCTGACTAATAGGTCTATAACCAAGGGTGGGCTACATTATTCATAGAATTTTTTTTCTAATTTCTTCTATGCATATGGTTTACTAAATAAAAAAGTTCTAAGATTGAAGCACAGAATGATGATATTAATTCCCATTTGGGTAGTGCTGTAAAGAACAAAAGAACCTTAAAGAATCTGTATGAAAATTTCAAATATTTCATAACATTGCTCTTATTTGGAAGAGGTTATAAATATTTATAAAACAGTTTTTAGATAGGGTAATATATATTTATATACTTGAACATATACTTCATTTTAATATTGATAATTTAACTCTTATATTTGAATTATATTTTTTAAAACATGGTACTTTGTTTAAACATTGTTCAGGTTTTATCTTACCACTACTTAAACACAAAGCAATTTTATATGTTGCTTGTCCCTGATAAGGATGCCTAAAATCCATATACTATTTTCTAGAGTATCAATTATTTGTCCACCCTTCATTTCAAGGACCATCTAATTTGGAAAAACAAATAATTTTCATGATCAATAACTCCTTAGAGTTCACTGTTGCTCAGCTCTCACTTGATGAAGGCATATTATCCTCTGTTTACAGGCTAGTTGTTCCAACCATCTCTGAAGTCCTTGAGGACAAAGACCTGGTGTTATTGCAGTCTGCATTTCAACACTAGTGCACCATATAAAAGGTAATAATGTTTAATGTCACTTCTGTTGAAACAAAAACTAAAGCTGAGTGCAAATTCATGTGAAAACAGAAGTTTTTAAATCTGGTATGAAAAATCCTTCTCAAGTAGATTTCTGTGGAAAAGCTATGATTTCCTAGAATAATTTAAAAGAAAGTGTTGGGAATTGTGTAAGACTGTTGAATCACAGACCTGTACCTCTGAACAAATAATACATTGTATGTTAAAAAAAAAAAGATAGCAGGAAGGGAATAATGAAGGGGGGAGATTGGAAGAGGAGACGAACTATGAGAGACTATGGATGCTGAGAAACAAACTGAGGGTTCTAGAGGGGAGGGGGGTGGGGGGATGGGTTAGCCCGGTGATGGGTATTAAAGAGGGCACGTACTGAATGGAGCACTGGGTGTTATACGCAAACAATGAATCATGGAACACTACATCAAAAACTAATGATGTAATGTATGGTGATTAACATAACATAATAATAAAAAATAAAATTTAAAAAGTAAATAAAAATAAAAGACATTCTTCTAATTTGATATATGCATTTTTTCTCTGAATTTGCAAATTTTCAAAACTAAGGTTATATTCTCTTGAAGGAAACCGACGTGTGGAAATGGGTTGTTATTGCAAGCTTTTAACAAAGGTTTTAATTTACTTTTTAAAAACTACATTTGACTTTCACATGTTAGAAAAGTGCTGATTTTAAATAAATCTTTGAGACCTGCCCTAGCTGGAGCAATTTTAGTCAAATACAGACAAAAAAATAATTAACTATTAAATGATTCAGACAGTATTGCTCAATTAACCACAAGACTGTGCTTGATCAACTCCTCCAGGCCTTCTTTTGTACTCAGAACACAAAGAGAGAAAAATATGATAATTACCAGAGTATGTAAGACTTTCTGATTACTAAAATCGATGTCTCTGTAGCTTCATCAGGAAGTTTATTCATAGCTTCTATTTTTTAGCCAGTTTTAATACCTCTTAAAAAAGACAACTATCAACACAATAATTTATTCACTTTTACAAATCACAATTAATTGTGCAGATGGGAGACATAAGTATTCTGACATCTGAAATCCTGAAATTCTCTTCATTAATGTTTCTTTCTCATTAGAAGAAATTGATCTTAAAATGTTAAATAGACAAGGTAAGTGGTGTTTGTTAGTTGAATCAAAAATTTACTTCTAATTCCAACTGATTGTGATTGAGCTCTGGGTCATTATTACTGTATCCAACAATTTAAATCGATAGACTTTGAAAATGCTTTTCACATTCAAGTGAAATCTAGGATTTGCTTGAATTTGCTTCCTACACAGATACTGCAATATTACACAATAAAACTCTTTTTGTACTATTGCTACTTTCTAGAACTAAATTTTAGCTACTTTCTCAGGAACTCCTTGAAATGAACAGATGTCTTCAGAACACTGCTTATCCTGTTTAAAGAAATGAAAATTAAGGGATAAGGAAAAACAACAACCTCTCTGAAATTCATTTGACAGTAATTGCAATGATCATACCAAAAATTGTCAGTAAATTTTGTTTAGAAAAGAAATGTGTCCAGTAGTAAAGACACAGAAAAACAGAATAAAAGATGAATTGAATAGAAATGAATAAATGCAGAGGCATGAAAACACACACACGCACATACAGATAAAATATCTGGTGCAGTTTTGCTAACTGGCATGAGCTTTTTGTTCCTGGTTTTCGGGACACAAGGAAGAGTACTAGCCTGGAGAATCATATTTTAAGATTGATTAATTCAGGAAAGTGAAAAATATTCCTTTAAGAATTTCCATTGGAAGTTTTTACATTAACAAATAGAATACATACTTGCATATACTGCATATATTTTACTCAGAATGGATAGGAAGTATTCTGAGTAAACAGATATTTTATAATAAGTAATCTTCTGATAGTAACTAAAAATATATTTATGATATATTTGTTCAGCTTTATTGAGGTATAATTGACAAATTAAATGTTAAGATACTAAAAATGTGCCATGTGAGGATTTGATATACATATACATTGTTTGTTAAAGAATTTCCCCCATTGAGTTAATTAATGCATCTATCACCTCACATTTTTTGTCTTTGGTGAGGACACTTAAGTTCTACTCTCTTAACAAATTTCAATCATACAACACAGTGTTATCAGCTATAGTCATCAGGTTATACAATAGAGTCACTGACTTTATTCATCTTATAACTGAAATTTTGTACTATTTTATCCCCACCCCCCAGCCCCTGGAAACCACTTTTCTATTCTCTATTTCTAGGAATTCATTTTTTTTTTATTCCATATATACGTGATATCATGCTTTGTCTTTGTCTTTGTCTTTGTCTTTCTCACTGTGACTTATTTAACTTAGCATAATGCCTTCCAGCTTTATCCATGTTATTTTAAATCGCAAAATTTCCTTTTTCTGGTTGCTGAATAATATTCCATGTTATATCACACACACACACACACACACACACACACACACACACCAAATTTCCTTTATTCATTCAACTGTCAATAGACATTTAGGTGGTTTCCATACTTTGGCTTTTGTAAATAATGCTGCAATAAACATGGGGGTACAGATATTTCTTTGAGATCTCATTTTACTTCTTTTGGATATATACCTCAAAATTAGATGAATGGATCATATGATAGCTCTATTTTTTTATTTATTTAATTTAATTTAATTTAATTAATACAATTTTATTTTCTTTTTTTTGAGAGAGAGAGATAATGCAAGTGGGTGGGGAGGGGCAGAGGGAGAGGGAGAGAGAGAGAATCTTAAGCAGGCTTCATGCCCAGCAGTTTGAGGTGGGGCTCAATCTTACAACCCTGAGATCATGACCTGAGCTGAAATCAAAAGTCGGACGCTTAACCCACTGAGCCACCCAGGGACCCCTATATTTTATGATAGTTCTATTTTTAATTTCTTGAGGAACCTCCATTCTGTCTTCCAAAATGGCTGTACTGATTTACATTCCCACCAACAGCTTACAGGGTTCCCTTTACTCCACATTCTGGCCAACACTTGATATCTTTTGTCTTTTTGAAGATAACCATTGTTAACAGTTGCAAGGTGATACCTTATTGTGGTTTTAATTTGCATTTTCCTGATAATTAGTGGTGGTGAACATCTTTTCATGTCTGTTGAGCATATGTATGCTTTCTTAGGAAAAAATACCTATTTTAAGCTCCTTTGCCCTTTTTTAAATTGGATTATTCTTTTGCTTTGAGTGGTATGAGTTCCTTGTATATTTTGTAAATAAACCCCTTAGTGG